TGGGGAACTATAAAAAAGTTTTTGTTTTTATTGGGAATTTTCTGGGGTTTATGTGCTGTCTGTTGGGGGTTTCGGGGTTTTTCTCTTTTGGATTCGGGCCCTTGTATTTTTTTCCTTCGGCTCGTTAAATACGCTGGATATTTTCCCCCGGAAATCCCTTTCCCTGTTGGGGAGGGGAGGCGGGGTTGCCCGCTGCCCCCGGGCGTCTTTGCCTGGCGCTTGAGCCACTGGCTTTAGCGCCCCGGGGGACGATTGCAATATATGGGGGTTTCCCATAGGGGGACGGGTTTAAGTTGAGCTCTTTGCGGCTTTTTCCCCTTTTGGGCCCCTTATAATCCTTGAGAGTTTTCCAAATTTGAAAGGGTTTTGAGCGTTTTCCCCTTTTGTTTTGGGGGTTCTTTTCCCAACTTGGAAAAAAACCCTTTTGTTAAATATTACTCTGTTCAGATGTGGTTTCGGGGCCAAACAACCCCATTTCCCCTTTAAACCGGTGGGTTTCTTTCCTTGAATATTGGGCATTCGTTGACCCCCATGACCCCCTTTTTTGCTGAAAAAATTTTTTATTCCTTTGTTAGCTTTTTATCTTCTTTTATGTTTTGGGCCCTTTTTCCGCCCCCTGTTTGGATAGGCGGGTTCATTCAGGGAAAATGCCCATTTGCCGAAATTGTTATATTATTTTCGCCCTCCCCCAGTGGGGGTTCCCCCCTCATTTTTTTCGGTTGTTCAGGCAAAATTTTTAGATTTTATCGGGGCCAAAAAAACACCCCGGGGTCTCTAAAAATTCGCTCTTTGCTCATAGACCCCCAGGGGGGGTTTTGGGGGTTTTCCCCAATTGTAACAAATTTTATTAAAGGCGGCCAGATTGCCCGTTTGGTTATGTTGCACGTTCCTCCGTTGTTCCTTTTGGGGCCCTGTGGAATACCTAATTGTCCCCCTATCCCCATGTGACACCCCTAGGGTTTCCCCCCTGCCCCTGGCCTATGGAAAATGGGGTCCGATGTTGCTCCAGGGCCCTTTAAAATTTTGGGGAAAGGGGTTTACGTTACTCAGGGGCCCTGATGTCACCTTTTTGTTTGTTCCAATCGTTAAAAACCCCTTTTTCCCCCCGCGGGTTTTTGATAAACCAGGGATTTTTTGGGGGGTGGCTCGGGTTTTCCCCTAACAGGTGCAGTTTTTTTGGGACTTTTGGGTTTCCTTTGCACCTGGAATGTCCTTCGAGAGTCTGAGATGTTCCCCCGCGGAATTTTTTGGGTCCCTTCCCTTTTTGGGGAGGGGTTTCTTTGCGGAGGGCCTTTGCTTTCCCATATCAAAAAACTGTTTTTTGAACGGCTTTGCCAGCAGAAACCCGGGCCCCCCGGGGCCTTATCCCCCCTTCTTTAAACAGCTTTAAAACCGGCTGGGTGCACTTCTTTTTCTTTATTTTGGGTTCGGGGAAGCGCCTGGGGGGGGAATGGGGGACCCGGGAGGACTGGAGTAAGGCTGGTCCCTCATAGCAAAATTTTTTATTTAAAAAGCCACGCGGGGAAGCAGCCTACAAGGTATTTTTCCCTTTGGGTTTACGGGTTTCCCGGCCCTCGTGGCCCCCGGCTTTAAACCCCCTGTAGGGGAATTTGATGTTTTTTGGGGGGCTGTGGCCCCTCCGGGGGATGTACTGCATATCTGGGTGGTCTTTCCCGAGGTTGGTTGGGTTTTTTGGGGCTCGTGTGTTTGGCCTCTCTTCATTTTTTTCCATCTCTCCATACGCCCGGGGGGCCGGTATGCTTTGCTTCATAGCCCCTTTCCGGGCCCCCTTGGCTGTCAGCCCGCCCCGGTTTGGTTTCCCATTTGTTTTTACGGCCAAAAAGGGCAAAATTTTCAGGCCCGGAAAAGTCCGGTTTTTTTACTTTTCCAGGGGGGGGCGGGAGGGTTGGGCTATATGATGTCAACGGAAAAGTTGGGCGAGTTTATGCAACGGGCCCCTTTAACATAAATTTTTGAAATTTTGGGAAAAACCCTGGTTGGGAAAACGCCTTTCCCCCCGCTCCCCTGGCCGTTTTGGGGGGGGGTTAAAGGAGTTTTGTATTGGCGCTTTTTGGCCCCCCGCCCCTTTGGTGTTTTTTTTTTTTTTTCTCCTTTTTTTTTTCTCGGGTCTTCTTCTTCCCTTTTCTGTTTGTTTTTAGGTTTTGGCAGTGGACAGCCCGTTTTAGTTGCGATGTCGAGTCTCATGATATTATTTTTAACCCCTTTTGCCAATTTTAAGCCCCCGCTTTGGGAAAAGTTTTTTCTTTATTGGGAAATTAGGTGTTGTTTTCTTAAATTTTGCCTTTTTTTTCAGTGAATTGATAGCCCCCCGCGTGGGGTGTTTTGGGTTTCTCTGTTTTTTTTCTGTTTTAAAAATTTAAAAAAAACCATTGAAATATAAATGTAACGAATTTTAAGAATTTTAAAAATGGTTTTTCCGGGCCCGAGTTCCTTTTGGGGAAGAGGAGATCATTTCCAAATGTTGGTTTTACAGGGAAAGTTTTGGGGGATCCCGGAAAAGGTAGTTTTAAACATTGGCACTTCTGCCAAGTGTCAAGATCACATACTTGAATGATAGCCCAAAGTTCAAAGTGGAATCCATTTATTTAAAAATTGTAGCTCGAATTTAAGCTTAGTAAAAAGGGGCCCGAAAGGGAAAAAATCGGGGAATGTTGAGGAAAAAAGGGGAAAACTGAAGAAAGGTTATAAGGGTCATTTATAAAAAATTTACAGTGAAAAAATTTTAAGGTTTTGTCAAGAACCCAAAAAGATTCCAAAAACCACCATTGTACAAACTTAATTTATTCTGCAGGTGGTATTTTGAAGGTGGGAGGGGGGCTGGAAAATGCGTCGTCCCCAAAAGTTTAAGGGTTCAGAAAATTTACCCCAAAAAATTTTTCCCTTTTAAAGATTGATTAAACAATCAAATACCACAAAAAAATCCCTTTTATCAAAGGGAAAAGGGTTTTTCTCAAAGTGTTTGAGAGAAGGTGGGGCTGGATAGTGAAAGGAAAACAAAGTTATAGCGAAATACATAAGTAAATGTGTTAATTGTAGAAAGACACGTTTGAAACCTTTCAGGAAAAACAAAGAAAGGCTGAAACTACCCGTGATTGTGTTTAAACCCCTCAACCCCCATTTTTTTATAGGGAATGGATTGCTTCCCCCCATTTTTTCCCAAAAAAAACCCCAAGGGGGGTACAAAAAAGATATGGAATGATTTTTAAATTTTCTAAGCTCCCCCGGGGAATTCACCGGAAATGTTGGAAGATTTGTCAACGACGCCCTTTTTTCAACGCCCTTAAAATGTTTCATAGGGTAAAAGGTCTGTCAGAGAACTTAGATTGACCATGGGTCTAATTTTGTGTGGTAGCAAAGAATGAACTTGAACACAGCTCTAAAAGAGATTTGATAAGAAAAAGTTACTGAGTACCTTATTTGAACAACAGTGTTGATTTTCACATGAATGCTCCACATGAAGCCATACAGGCGGAGTCTCTGGGAGAGGCAAATCAGAATACTGTAAGAAACGTACTACGTTCAGGTTTGAAAAAGAAAGCGGAAGATTAGTTGAGTGCTTCACTTAGGGACACTATTCTATTGAAGTAATGTTCTATTGTTTTACGTCGTTCCACTTACAGTCAACAACCTCAACGACCCCAAACAAGCTTGCTAACTCTAACTCCCAACCATCTACTTCACTTAAGTCTGATTACATACAGCCAACCACCTGGCAACTTCACCAAAGAGGGGATTTATACGCAAGAAAAGATGGGTGAAGAGCTCAATATCTATCAGAGCAGTTTTGGGATAGATGGAGGCAGGAGTACTTAGACCTCATATCAATACTAAGAAGTAAATGGCAAACGCTAGAATGAAATGTTCATGTGATGACATAAGTGTTAGTAAAGGACGACGACTTACCTAGAAGTCAATGGAAATTGGCCAAAGTCTAGATGCCGAAAGGACGAAGAAGGACTAGTATAGAAAAGTATTGTTACAATGGGAGACTCAAAAACTCGACGAAAATGGGAAAACGTCTCACAACTCCACTCAGTTGGAAAGTCCAATATTCAAAAAGTTAGTTGTTCTGCTTGAGAGTAACACAAGGACACTTGAGAGTTTGAGAAACTGATGGAAAATTCCTCAAATTCATGTTCGAAATCCTATTACTGAGAACATAGACGTTATAGATAATTTTGGTGTGAGTGTAGCTGGCCAGTCTAAGACCAGTCCTAGGTTGCTAATATGGTTCACATATATTGTGTATACCAAACCTGCAATAACCTCAGTTACAGTATATATGTGCATATGTTAAAGCCAAAAGCAGGCAGATCATTGCTGTAATTTATGTCTTTGATTGTTATATGACATTTATATATTCATTGTGTTAGGCAGAAGGGCAGAAAAGGAAAATATGCCTTTAAGAGTTAGTGTATGGAGGTGAGCCATTCACAGACAGCCTCACACTGTACAAGAGCCTTAACCAATCCCAGCCAGTTTTCACATTTATGCTGTGTAAAACTCCCTGCTAGGATTTTCTAGAGACACATGCTCACCAGAGAGCAGAAGAGGAAAACAGACAAAGTTCCAGTCAGAGAAGCTTTATGGAAACAGAGAAGGCCAAATAGTTCCACCGAATTTACGAACATTACGAATCTTACGAATCAAGTCACTGTAGAGTAATCTAACGAATTTACCGAATCTAACGAATTTTATCCCCAGCTATCGAATCAACCCAATGTAATATACGAATTAAACCATTGTAATATGAAAGAAATAAGCCATTGTGTAAGCAGTTATATGAAGAAGATTGAAGTTATTTAAAGAAGTTAACTAAAGTATATATCGGGTGTGCTCTTTTAAACCTACTGCATCCATAGAGGCGGCATTGGAGGAATTACAGAGTAAAGTCAGTCTAATCAAACAAAGAAACAGCAATTGCATAATTTTTCTCTAATGCCACAGCGCACTTAGGCACCAAAGGGTGCTGCGCCTGCACACACCCACCTCCTGGAGAGTGTACTTGACTTGGCTAGTGTGAAGGTGGGTTTTATTTTCACCACAAAAAAGAAATGTACGGGGAATTTAGCAAGTTGCCCTTCCAGGGGCGGACTGACAACTCATGGGGCCCCGGGCAATAGGGGATCATGGGTCCCCTGTGTCCTTGCCCAAACTCAAAAAAAGCCTATGAAAAATGTGCCAGGGGCATCTCATGGGGCCCCATACTGACCCTGGGCCCTCGGGCAGTGGCCCGAGTTTTCCAAATGGTCAGTCTGCCCCTGTTGCCTTCTGTGGTTGTCCTTGCCATTTTTGTATCTTGTTGAGCTCACCAGCACATTCCTTCTTTTCAGTAATGTAATAATTATTGATTTGGCCGCTCTAAGGTTTCTGTAATCTCTCTGATGGGTTTTTTTTGTTTAACTACGTTAATGATGACCTGCTATACTTGCATGAATAGATTCTTAGCAAATCATATGGATGGTTCATGGCAACAGCTTCCAAATGTAAATGCAAATCTTGGAGTCAACTGCAAACATATTTCTGATTAATTGTTAATTAAATAATATTCGAACTGCTTAATCGTGACCATGGAATAAACTTGTCGGTCAACTGTCCATTTACTTTTAAGAAGCAGTGGACTACATAAACCATTCACCCAATTGAGATGTAAATTATCGTAATGGCAACAGGGTCATACCGGGGGGGCAGATGCCACCTGAACTGCCCATTTTTGCTGCCTCCCTATGGCAAAGATAACTGTCTTAGGTGGCTGAATAGCACTTCTTGTTTGTGCATGTGTTCGCCTGCTCACACTGGCACAGGCAGTCATCTCAGTGACACAGAGACTGTTATGTACAGGCCAGGGGCGGACTGACCATTTGGAAACTTGGGCACTGCCCGAGGGCCCGGGGTCAGTAGGGGGCCCCATGAGATGCCCCTGGTACCTTTTTCATAGGATTTTTTGAGTTTGGGCAAGGACACAGGGGCCCCATGATCCCCTATTGCCCGGGGGCCCCATGAGTTGTCAGTCTGCCCCTGAGGCATAGTGTCACTGAGTCCCTGCCCAGTCATTGAACCTGTCACACCGGTATGAGCAGTGGCTGGTAGCACCGTGTTCAATGACACTGAGACTGCACTCTTAACATGCTCCACTTCACTAAAGAGGCTTGGCTGCTGCCCCTGCCTGGGTGACAGGAGCAGTTGCCAGAAGGGAGCTCAGTAACACTGAGCCTGTGATTTTATCAGGCTTAGCATTATTGAGCTGCACTGAGGATGACCCCCCATTGTGTCTCCGTGAGTGCCACCTAAACTGACCTCACTGGCAAAACAGCCTTGGCTGGCACTTTCAGGTCCACAGCCATCCTATCATTTTATCTCTAATATCTTTTGGTAAAATGCTAGAATAATAACACTCTATTAATGCCTAAATATTCATAGACATGCTGCGTGTATACTATATACCGTATTTTTCGCTCCATAAGGCGCACTTTTTTCCCCCGAAAAAATGGGGGGAAATGTCTGTGCTATGTCCGCAGTCTCTGGTCATCTCCTGTACTATGTCCGCAGTCTCTGGTTGTCTCCTGTACTATGTCCGCAGTCTCTGGTCGTCTCCTGTACTGTGTCCGCAGTCTCTGGTCATCTCCTGTACTGTGTCCGCAGTCTCTAGTCATCTCCTGTACTATATCCACAGTCTCTGGTCATCATCTGTATTATGTCCACAGTCTCTGGTCATCTCCTGTACTATGCCCACAGTCTCTGGTCATTTCCTGTACTATGTCCGCAGTCTCTGGTCATTTCCTGTACTATGTCCGCAGTCTCTAGTCATCTCCTGTACTATGTTTGCAGTCTCTGGTCATCTCCTGTACTACGTCTGCAGTCTCTGGTCATCTCCTGTACTACGTCTGCAGTCTCTGGTCATCTCCTGTACTATGTCTGTAGTCTCTGGTCATCTCCTGTACTATGTCCACAGTCTCTGGTAATCTCCTGTACTATGTCTGAAGTCTCTGGTCATCTCCTGTACTATGTTTGCAGTCTCTGGTCATCTCCTGTACTATGTCTGAAGTCTCTGGTCATCTCCTGTGTAGCAATCCTGCCCACAGAGATGGACACGGTTCAACCATTTTGCTCCAAACCCTCCATCTTGTAGATCCTTCTCCCCCTCTTGGATCATCCCCCTCCCTCTCGTAGATCCACAGTGACATTTGGTCGGTATGTGTGTTGGAAGTGTCACAGGCAGGCCAGAGCACAGCAGGGAGCTCCGAGCTTTAAAACATCTCTGAGCTGGGTGCCGGGCGGTCTAAGAAACTGAGCAATCTGGCACCTTGCAAAAGGGCAACCCAAGCCTTCCCCTGAGTTCAAAGACATTCCAGGGGAGTCATAAACTAGATACCACTTTTAAAATCCATTTTCCCCCTATGTCTCATATCTTGGAATATGAGAGACTTACATAAAAAAACAGGCATATCTTCAGATTGGCCACAAGAAGACAAACAGTTTGATATGTCACTCTCCTTGGCTGGAATATATAGGAAAGAAGAAAATTACATCTCTTGAACCATTCAAGTCTGTATTTCATATTTCATATCTAACCGTTCCGCAGATGCGTCTGCATATTAATCTACCTGCGGGTGGAATGTTACTTGTGCCTAGGAAAAGTTATGAGTCAAAATATAAGCTATGAGGGATTTTGGTTCTAGGTTGGGTCTCTGCCCAGACAACCCCTCCCCAAATGAGGCATTGGTCCTTGGCTTCAGAGACACCCCCTGCTGGGGGACCACAAAATAGGCTGTCAGGCCTAAGAGTGGAAGTTGAAGAATTCTCCCGTTTAACATCAGAATCAACTTGGGAGACGGTGCCCTTTTGCTCTGAAACTTGATCTGCTTAACCCAAGGCTGATTGGCAAGTTCTTTAACCCTTTAACCTCCTTTCTGTTACCTCTTTGCTGTGCTATTGTTGTCTGTATATTTATATATATATGGGTTACATCTTTTTTCTGTAAATATTTTTTATTGCACCCTTTTGACCTTTTAGTAATAAATCCTACTTTCTGAAAGTGTTGAACTGTTTCTACAGCTCTTTATTGCAACCTACGAATTCCTGCCTCTAAAAGAGCGCTACTGTGTGTGTTTAACCCTCTGTATAACCTGTCTGCGGTGACAGTGCTATACAGACAATTATCTCAACCATCATAGTGTTATTGCTGATATTGCCAAGTTTCCTCTTTCTCTGTACAAAAAGGAGGTGGTGGAAGTGTGAAGGGTTAATTGCATAATTAACCTGACCCAGTAACAATATCGCACCCAGGCTGCCGGTACTTCGATTTGTGGTCCATCAGCTGGAAAATCGTTGTACAGGGTGCAGCTGGGCGTGGCGTTGTTACGCACGTGCCATCGCAGTTTTAGATTGGCTAGTCCTTAGGTCACGAGTTTGGTGAGAAGGGCTGGGGTCTGACACGCGATCGTCACATCCTGTACTATGTTTGCAGTCTCTGGTCATCTCCTGTACTATGTTTGCAGTCTCTGGTCATCTCCTGTACTATGTCCGCAGTCTCTGGTCATCTCCTGTACTGTGTCCGCAGTCTCTGGTCATCTCCTGTACTGTGTCCGCAGTCTCTGGTCATCTCCTGTACTATGCCCGCAGTCTCTGGTCATCTCCTGTACTGTGTCCGCAGTCTCTGGTCATCTCCTGTACTATGCCCGCAGTCTCTGGTCATCTCCTGTACTATGTCTGTAGTCTTGGTTCAGAATATTTTTTTTCTTGTTTTCCTCCTCTAAAACCTAGGTGCATCTTATGGTCAGAATCGTCTTATGGAGCAACAAATATGGTATTACATAAATTCATATAATAATGTGTGCAAGTTTATTGGGGGGGGGGACTGAAATTTTTCTTTAGATAGCATTCATGAAAAACTAAGCTTTTATTTAGTAATTCATGTATATATTCTTTCTTAAATAGATTCAGGCTGTGTCTACCTGGCCTTGATGGATGCAGACTACAAAAGACACCCAAAAAACAATTACATATCCAAAATATTACAGTATACTCTTGACATTCAGTGGACACAGTGCTTGTCCTGGCATAACAAGCAGTGGAATTCCGAAGACTGTTCTACTCAGAAGGGTACTACAACAGCATTGTTTGTTTGCAGGTGAGGTAGTCTGCAAGTAATTGCTCTAAATAGTAACTTTTGTGAAGTATCAACTTACTGGTGTACTGGTGCAATGTAATTATATAGTGTACAGTCAGGAGCATACAAGACACTTGCCTAGGGTGGCATTTTTCAGGGGGACAGCACCTCCCCCCAGAAGAAAGGATGAAAGAAGGTATATACACACACCATAGCAACCAGGTGGGATCCGAGAGAGGCTATGGGCTGCTTGATGGTGTATGTAGAGCCTGACTCTCATTCCTGGGGATGTCCGGAGCTGTGAAGATGAGTGTCTTTCTCTCTATCACCAGGAGGGGTAGTGGAAAGTGGGGGCAGGGATGTTGTTGGTCAATATTAGGCTTTCTCCGCAGAAGGGGGGGGGTGTTGGTCGGTGTCCGTGGGGGCAGATGATTTTTGTGTTGCCTAGAGCAGCACCAAACCTAAAGACCCCACTGTATACAGTACATAATTTTCTATGACTTAACATAAAGATTAGTGTATTTGATTCTATTATATATTATTCTCATCTATAATATTATTCTCATATCATAAACCTTTTTACCCAGCCCTTGGACCTCTAACATATGGGGAAACAGTGTGTAAAGCCTAGTACACAATGAGAATATAGGACGAATGATCGTCCATTTTGTTTTTTTTTTTTTAGCATGCTAGTCTCATATCAAAAATGAATAGATTACTAAAGTTACGAAATAAATTAAAGCTGAATTTCAGGCAGATTTACTCAGACCTGCCAGACAGTAGAGCCAGGTTGGTGACCTGACTTTTTTCTAGTTAAAATTAAAGTGTATCTGAAGGCAAAACTTTTTATTAGAGTGGGAAGAGGTTAGATTTTCTGTGAAGATTTCCTTGCTGTCTGTGTCCCCACTGTTGTCATAGCAACCATTGTCATCCATAAATAACGTGAGTGGAAATCCAAAATTCTAATGTAGTCCACAAAATAAGGGGAAATCTTTCAATGGGAACACCTGTTGTGGGGGCAACTATCTAAGAGGGAAATTTCCCTTTGGGAACTTTCTGTTGTACCTCTTTGTGAAGGCTCAGCCAGTACAAAAATTAATCTGCGGACTTTTTAAAAACATTTAGAAGTTGAGATAATCAGATTCAGCCAATGCATTTCAGGGGTAAAATACCTCCACCTTCTTCAGGGCTTGAGGAGTTGATATTTAGAAAATCACAACAGAATGCACAAAGGGACCTGTGTTAAGGCCAGGGGTGGACTGGCAACTCATGGGGCGCCAGGGCAATAGGGGATCATGGGGCCCCTGTGTCCTTGCCCAAACTCAAAAAAGCCTATGAAAAAGGTACCAGGGGCATCTTATGGGGCCCCCTACTGACCCCGGGCCCTCGGGCAGTGCCCGAGTTTCCAAATGTTCAGTCCGCCCCTGGTTAAGGCTTGATGAAGACTTGCATCTTCAGATGGCACTGTAGGCAGCCAGCTTTGAGCATTTTGTTGTGATTTTATAAACATCGATTGCTCAAGCCCTGAAGAAGGGGGAGGCTTTTTCCCCCTGAAACTTAATGGCTGCATCTGATGCTGTTAACCATGAAATGTTTCAAAAAGTCCTTTGAGTGAGATGCGCAGCACCCTTTGGTGCCTTGTGCGCTGTGGCATTAGAAAAATTATGCAATTGCTGTTTCTTTCTTTGATTAGACTGGCTTTACTCTGTAATTCCTCCAATGCCGCTCTATGGATGCAGTAGGTTTAAAGAGCACACCGAATACTTTAGTTAACTTCTTTAATAACTTCAATCTTCTTCATATAACTGCTTACAATGGCTTATTTCTTTCATATTACAATGGTTTAATTTGTATTACATTGGGTTGATTCGATAGCTTATCTCGATAGGTTCAATAGATTCAATTGGATTAGGATTACTCTACAGTGACTTGATTCGTACGTTCGGTGGAACTACAAGTAAACACACACAACAGATTTTACACACAGATCTACCTGCATTACTAAACAACAGAGGAACACACAAGTGCATTAAATACCTATTTGGCCTTCTCTGTTTCCATAAAGCTTCTCTGACTGGAACTTTGTCTGTTTCCTCTTCTGTCTGGTGAGCATGTGTCTCTAGAAAATCCTAGCAGGGAGTTTTACACAGGCATAAATGTGAAACTGACTGGGATTGGTTAAGGCTCTGTACAGTGTGAGGCTGTCTATGATTGGCTCACCTTTAACTAACTCTTAAAGGCATATTTTCCTTTTCTGCTTCTGCTAACACAATGAATATATAAATGTCATATAACAATCAAAGACATAAATCACAGCAATGATTCTGCTTTTGGCTTTAACATATGCACATATATACTGTACTGAGGTTATTGGCAGGTTTGGTATACACATATATGTGAACCATATTAGCAACCTAGGACGGGTCTTAGCTGGCCAGCTACACTCCTCCATACTTATTCAAAAATCTAGCATCTGGAGAGCGCTTCCTTGTGTTGCTATCAGAAAGGTAGCAGAACAGGTTCCACCAATGCTAGACTTCAATCACGGATTGGATCATTTGAAGGAAAATTACTTTACCATAGTTGCATCAGAATCAGAGCAATCATCATATCAGGCATGTTGTGCTGTGTTCTGGACTAGTGGCTTCTACACACCAAATCATTTCTTCAGTTACCTTGGTTTTTAGTGCAAATGCAACACCAATTCCAAAAAAGTTGGGACGCTGTATAAAATCTACATAAAAACAGAATGTAATGATTTGCAAATCTCATAAACCCAAATGTTATTCACAATAGAAAATAGAAAGCATATCAAACGTTTAAACTGAGAAAATGTAAAAATAGAGTAATTTTGAAATTGATGGCAGCAAAACATCTAAAAAAAAAAAAACGTTAGAACAGGGCAAGAAAGAGCTGGCAAAGTACATGGTACTAAAATGGAAGAGCTGGGGGAATATTTTTTGCATCCAATTAGGTAAATTGGCAGCAAGTCAGTAAGATGACTGTGTATAAAGAAGGCATCTTAAAGAATGTCTCAGAACTAAAGATGGGCAGAGGATCACAAATCTGTGAAAAACTGCAAGGAAGGCAATTTCACAAAACTGTAATGACAACTGTCGAATTTTCTGCTTTTAGCTGTACACGTCTGGGACTGTATACTACTGCCAGTAGATATGTGTTGTCTTATTTTGACAAGGAAGATGTCTCACAGTTTATAAGGTAAGGATATAAGTAGTTCTTTTTGTATCTATATTTGTCTATTTCAAGTACCTTTTGACATGTATGCATATAGCATATACTGTACCCAGTGATTCTGCATATGTTTTCTAAACACTCTCAGAACTTTTTATTTAAAAAGAAAGCATTCTCAGTTCTGTAGCACCCTCCTTGATGGGATGCTAGGATGTTATGCAAACTTAGCTTTTTTTGGCTCCTCTGTATTCTTTGGAGCAGCTTTTGATTTCTTTTGGCTGTTCTGGATTTCACAGGCTGCAGGATTGCTCTGCCCTGCCTTTTAGAGGATTCTAGAACATAGAAGGTTGGGCAAGTTAAATGGGCAGCATGAATATTGTGCTGCGGCCAATCCCTACTGTCACGGGTTGTTAAGGAATGGGTGGTCACCGAGTCCTTAACAACCTATGAGTCGTCAGCTGTCAGCAGGGATCCCCACTGACGACAACTGAATGTAAAAAAAAGAATTGCCGGCAATGAAAAAAATATTTTAAAAAACTGTGTAGGGTCCCCCTCTCCATCCATTCCAAGCCCTTCGGGTCTGGTATGGGTCGATAATGTCACAAGGGGGCAGGGTCACACACACGTGATGTAACCGGGTGGCCCCACCCCTTACATATTTCAGAACTGTCAAGCTAGCGAAACAGTCAGACGGCAGGACGGAGCCTTTTTTTTTTTTTTGGGTCGGCAGTAGTGGGCATCGTGATTGATGTTGGACTTCAGAGGACTTTTTAAAATTTTACTTCTGTTAATAAAGGGCTTGTCAAAGACTGTTTCCTGTCTTTTTTATTGTGTGTGAATGGGTATCGGTACCATGTATCGAATACTCATTCACTTAGGGGGAGGTGGGATCTGGGGGCCCCGTTGCTAAAAGGGGCTTCCAGATTCCAATAAGCCCCCTGCCCGCAGACCCCCACAACCACCAGCCAGGGTTGTGGGGAAGAGGCCCTTGTCCCCACAAGGTCCTTTGGGGGGGAACCACCCTGCCCCAAAGCATCCCCCATGTTGAAGGGGGGCGCTCGCTCGCCTTTTTTTATAGATTTGCGTGAGGGGTTCCCCTAAAAACCCATATCAGACCTGCAGGGCTTGGTATGGATGGAAAGGAGAACCCCACACCATTTTTTTAATTACTTTTTAATTCTTTCTTTTACATTCAGCTGTCATTGGGGAATCCCGCTGACAGCTGAAACATTAATGCATGGTTTTCACTACTAAAATAGTAGCGATAAAATAACTCATGCTGTATTTTAGTAGCTTTTTTTAGTGAATTATGCAGTATCCTACCGCATACTCGGATGTGGTAAGATATCGCTTAGTGAATTGTGCCCTATGTAGCTATATAGCATATTATTATTATTATTATTAATATACAGGATTTAGATAGCGCCAACAGTTTGCGCAGCGCTTTACAAAATGAAGGTAGACATTACAGTTACAATACAATTTGGTACAAAAGGAAACAGAGGGCCCTGCTTTTTAGAGTTTACAATCTAGGAGAATATCAATCTCTAAACCTAAATGTAGATTTTATAATTACTGTACTTATACAGTGTAGTTATACCGTACTCTACAACTTACTAACAATTAATTTGTCTACCTTCTGCATGTTATAAAGCTAAAACTACTACAAATGTTCAAAAGTGGTGCGCTGTTAAATAAATGCAATTCAATAAAGTGCATGAATCAAAATTAAACAAATGTTGTGCTGTTTAAATAAATAAATAATACAATTCATTAAAGTGAATAAATCTATCAATAATTTATTTATAATAAAAAAGTCCACATTAACTCAATCGTGTAAAAAAATAAATATAGAAAAAAAATATATATAATAGTCCATCCACCAAACTCATGTGCAAAATATTGTTGGGTGAAGACTTAGCGGTGACATCATTACGCCCACCAGGGCACTGGACGCTTTACAATTGATGTGCCTTGTGATTTTACTTGTTTGTCAGCATAAGTCTATATTTTAAATAAATTATTATTTATTATTATACAGTATTTATAAAGCGCCAAATAGTTCGCTCAGCGCTGTACATTACAAAGGGGGACAGAACATGTGACAGAACAATACCAATACAATGCAAAACATGAGGGGATCGAGGGCCCTGCTCTTTCGAGCTTACAATCTAGGAGGGAGGGGATGGTGGTACAGGAGGAGATAGCTGTGGGGGATGGAGTGGTAGGAAGAGTGGAGGAGGTCGGCAAGTTAGCAGG